CTGGGGTTTGCTCTGTAGAATATGCCAGATGACCCTGGATTCCACTTGAAGTTTTGGGTCCCTATTGAAAAATAAAATTCACCTGAATAAATTTAAAGGTCTATTTGGCTTTATTAAACAATTCATGAACCAAACAGATCCCAAGTAGAAAGGCTTTGCACAAGCTTCTACAAAAAGGAAGGTTTTTACATTCAAAAAGAGGATGGGACAAGATTATTAGCAAAAGAAAAGAAAGACTATTTCATGCAAAGCCACCTTCCCTCAAGGGGAGGTAAGGAGGTCTTACCTTTCTGAAACTATAATTAGGTTAGGTATTAAGTTTTGGTGCTTCACCCTACCCTTCCCCCCATGACTCACTCTATTTAGGGCCTGTTGTTTCTTTTTTTTTAAACCCCTTACCTACCCAGTGAGGACCTCATATCCAACCCACAAAGGACCCCCACTGTGCCGTGCTTCAAGGATATATATATAAAGTGTGTACCCAAAGCTAGCCCACAGGGGTGAGTGTTCAGTAGTAACAGGGGTTTGCATTCCTGGGCACAAATTCCAGTGCCTTTACATGGCCATGATCCTCACAAAAAGATCCATTTTATAGAGGAGGGGATGGAGGCCCTGGGAAATTAGCTTGGCCAAGGTGACAAAGCTAAGATATGGGACAGTCAGGATTCAGATTATGCTCTGGCTCCAAAGCCTTTTTTTTTTTTTTTTACTTTGCTGCACAACTTACACTGATGTCAGAACTGGACATGAAACAATTCTCATCAAGCACAGTCAGAATTATGAGCTCCAATGATGATCTGCTTCTGAGCTATATAAAAAAGAGTTGGAAGAGCCCCTGGTTTACTGGACTTTGGTCTGCATTCAGATTTGCTTGGCCTCAAGTGTTCAGATTTGCATGGCCCTTCCTCTCCAGACATTTCCTCCTCCCTTATCTTTCCCCTCCCACTGCTTTTGAAGGATTTTTAGATCAAAGTGGCAGCTGCTCTCCTGGGGGATAATCCTGTTGCCTGTAACCTTGTTTTCTGAGTGTCCTTCACAAGGAAGGGTTTCAACAAAAACTTTCTCCCTCAGCCCAGTCACACCATTTTTCTTTTCCTTAAGCCTTCACCAGTCCTCAGGATAGAAAGGAAAATGCCTTCTTTCTTCAGAAACATTTTTATGCTGAGGAGCTGCACAGAATAAATTAGCCAAATCTCAAAAAGTGTTATGAGATGCTCCTTCCACATCCTCATTTTAATTTCTGCTTCCATCTTTTCCTTCTCAAATGCCACCTCCTTTTTCCTTCCGGAGGACTGGCATTTATTTACATTTGCCCTTCCAAGGGGCAGGTGTATCTGCATCGACACCAAGGAAACTCTTCCTCCAGGTAAGAAACAACTTACAAGATTCTAAGACCCAGATGCAACCAGCAAGTAGAGAACTGAATCAAAAATACTTTCAGTCACTCAAGGGAAGCAGAAGCCCAGTGGATCCAGAAGGATTAAAGATAACAAGATAATACCTAGTTGATGATGGCAGAAATAACCAAGTATCGGGGCCTCACCTTGAGCTGCTGCAGCAGGTGTTATATTTCCGAGAAGAGTGGCTTGCTGGAAGTTTCCTGGTTGATGTCATCGTTAGAGGCCCTTTGACAGGTCCCTTCTTTCAAGGAAAGTGCCAAATGCTTTGGAAATATCCCCATTTTCCTACTTTTTTCTGTTATTTCCAGGGATTTAGAGGCGTCACTAACTGCCAAGGCGAAGAGGTACTTGAAGTTTTAGATTCTTTAAAGACTCGTGGACCCTACTTTGACATTTTTCTTTTGCTAGTCTTCTTTCCTGCAAAGAAAGAATGACAGTAATTTGAAGGGAAGCATTTCTTTTTCACCCTCCTATCCCCATCCCTCCTAACCTGACCTACAGAAACACCATTGGTGGTTATCTACCAAGGTAGAGTGTAATATCAACAGGAAACCTCTTTTCAAAATGGAAAGTAGCCTGAAAATGTTCTTTAGTCCTGGCATCAGGTTCCTTAACATGTGAGTCTAAAGCACTATCTTCCATAATATCTCCACTCTGAGGTCCCTAACACACACAAACACACACTCTCCTCTGATCCCCGTTTCCTCAAAATCTGGCCCCACCCAGAGCTTACCGAATTTAAAACTCTGGCAGCTGGGCCCAGCAATTCCCTAATCACCCAGAGAACTTATTGAAACAAATTCCTGATCTTCACAGCAAGAGATTTTGATTCAGTAATTCTTCAATGGGACCCAAGAAGTCTTATTTCTATCAAACTCTTAGACAGTGTTGATGCTCCTGGCCAAGGGAGTAGATGAGGTGTAGGTAGCTCCCTGCCTGCTCTTACCATGGATTGCTTCTGTAAGCCAAGTGGTGAACTGTGTACAAAGATCATAGGTGGAGGTGTAGACAAAAAGAAGGAAGAAAAGGAAAAGAAATTCTGGCATAGGAAGCAATGCCTGGAACAAACACAGTTCTTCCTCCTCACACTTTATCAAACCTTTTCTTTCTTAAGTTTTGTTTCCCTATTTCTGGCCACTAATGAATGCATCCTGATTGAGACCTGCTAGTAGTTTCTCATGGGCCTTATAAAGATGGTGACCCAAGAGCTGGCCTAACAAAAGGATTAAAAGAAATTAAGGTCGGGACTCCCTGGTGGTGCAAGGGGTTAAGACACAACCTATGAAGCTATCCACAGCCACTGCAGCACGAGTTTGATTTCCTGCCAGGGAGCTACCCACATGGCACAGCAGACTTCTCCTGACTCGCCCGCTGCTCCCCTCACAGTGTATTTCAGTCATTCCCCCTGTTCTGTTCCCTACTCTGCCTCTGGTGAATCCTCACCCCCTGTACCTCTGGCCTGTACCCCTGTTCTTGTATGCATAAATAAATCTTAAAAAAAAAGAAGTTAAGGTCACACTGTTAGACCTTTAATGGAAAGGAACTTTAATACAATTAGTGAACAATACAGAAAAGACAACAAATATAGTTTCTAAATCAAACACCCAAAGTTATCCATCCTCTAGTGGGTAAAAGTCCACCCAAACAGGGTTGGCCCAGAACAAGGCCCAAAAGCCTGCCACAAGTCTAAAGCACTTTCCTGCAGGGACCCATAGAAAAGGGTCAGAAAAAGCCAGACAACCTTGGGGCTGCAGGATCTGGAGCATTAGTCTACAACCAAAGGATCCCCAGGGATCTCCAAACTGTTAAGGAGTACAGTCTCTCAAAGGAGTCCAGCCATCCATAGCACAAGAACAAAGGAAGTAGATTCTTAGTGTAAAAGATCTTTAGTAGAATTAGTGTGCAAAGATAATTAAAGATATTACTAATGAGATTTACCCATTAAAACACACCAAATTACCCAATCCTCTCATGGGCAAATGCCCAGCCAAACCGGGTCAGCCCAAAGCATAGCTGCTAAGATCCAAAATCTTGCCATAAGTCTAAGGCACCTTCTGGGAATGAACCACAAGAAATGGCTTAGGCAGAGAGCTGAGATAGAAGACTCAAAATTCAAAATCAAAGTAAAAATCTAGAAAATGGCTGCCATTGTTTCTCTGCAAAGGACCAAGAGGACCCTCCCCCTATGCCTCACCCATGTGTCTCTTCTAAGTACCTCTTCCACAAGTCTCACATGTCTTTTCTCCACATGTCTCCTTCAAGTCCCTAGGCACAAGTCAATACCAGAGAGAGAGATGGGCCACCTGTCTTCCATATTGTATAAGTTCACCTGGCTGCTCAGCTCCACCCCCAGTTTGCAGTAGCTCCTTTACTAAGGAACTCCAGTTCATAGCATACTGGGACTTGTAGTTCCAGGTGGCTGTGTGTAAGTGGGAATGAGGAAAATGATGTCTGTCCTTCACAAGGTGTATCTCTAACAGCAGTCCACTTCCCTCCTTCACCCTGGACTTGTCCAATGAGCACATGGCCCCCGCTGCTCAGACTTTAGTATACACCAGGACCTCCTAGTTAAACACAGATCACTAATCCCACCCCAAGTCTATGATTCAGTAGACCTGGGATGAGGCCTGCCTGAGAGTCTGCATTTTTAGTCAGCTCCTACACTAGAGCCACTGGTATGCATACCTGAAACAATGCCAAAGATTCTCGAGTCATTTCCACAGCAGCCACCCATGAACAATTCTGGCAAAGGTAAGTTGCTTCCAGCCTGCAGCATGAACATATAGGAAGTATCCAAACCTCACTTTGTCCCTATCAGCTGCCTCAGAAATGGAAGCCAGGCTTTCAGCAGACATGGGCATCCAGTAATACCTGGATGATGCCATTCATGAAATGCACTCTGAAATGTCAGAAAAATTTTTCTTAGTTGGAAAATCACTGTGACTCTCATACCTCCAAGTTTCTACCTTCTTCTGAATATTACATCTGTTGTGGCTTTTGTTGTAGTTTTACCATTTCACACTGTTAACAAACAAAATTCACCAGATAAAACTTCAAAGATCTAAGTGGCTTTATTAAAGGATTCATGTATCGGGCCACATCCCAGGCAACAAGTAGAAAGGTGTTCCAAAGAACTGTACAAACTGGAAGGCTCTCCTAGACAGAAAGGGGTCAACATAGGAAATTAGAATTGTTTGGGGCAAGGCCACCTTCCCTTGGGGGGAGGGACCTGGCAGGAGATTAACTCACTAGTGCTGACCAAGTAATTCCAGATTGACTGGGATTTCTGGGAGGGGCTGAAACTGCAATTAAGTTAGTTATTAAGTGAGTCTTGGTTTGGTGGCATGGGCTTAGCACAAGTGACTCCATTCGGGGCCTGCTGCCTCTTATTTAACAATACCATTTACCAGAACACAGAATGCTCAGTTTCCTCTGAGAGTAGTACCAGAAATGCTTGTTGATCTGATCTGACAGTCTCCAACCCATAGAACTCTGGACTTGTTGAGGAGGTGATGCAACCAGACTCACTGACATTTCTCTCTCTTCTCCCCACCCATTCCCTCCGCTCCATGTCTCCTCACCTCTGCCTCCCGTCCCCAGTGCATTCCCAGAAACAGAACAGACAGACATGCGTCCGCAAGAGCCTCATCTGCGCCTTCGCCATGGCCTTCATCATAAGTGTCATGCTGATTGCGGCCAACCAGATCCTCCGGAGCGGCATGGAGTAGCAGCCTCCCGCCACCACGCTGCTTCCCAGCTCATTGCGCATGTGCATGCCCTGCGGGCAGACTCTTCCTCCACAAATGCAGATAAGGACGATGCAGACCTGGCACAGTTCAGTGAAGAACCCAAGGTTGCAGTGCAACCAGTGTTGCAAATCAAATTTATCTCCTTGGCAGGGACACAAAAGGGCTGTCTTAAATGCTTTACTGGTTTTGTTTCCTAATGCAATAAATAGCCAGGAGTTCTGAATGATCGCTTCAACCACCTGTAGTAACTCCGAAGAGAAACTTCATTTTCATCTCGGAATTCCAATGGCCATACAGGTTGGTGGTGTGAGAGAGCTAGAGAGGCGTGAACACGCAGTCACCTCCACACCCCAGTCTTTCAACCCAAGGGTCAACTGGAGAAGCCACCCCCTGAGGGTAACCCTCAGTCCCAAAGGCTGACTTCTGTGTTACCACCGAAGAGGGAAGAGGGGGCTTTCCATCTCACCTGGCTTCCTTCCTCCACCCAGTGGAGATCCCCCAAGGCATGAGGGGAGAGCCATTGAATGGGGTGCAGCGCCTGGTGGTCTGCAAGTCGCACCCCTTTGCTTCCGTTCTTACTGCCTTTCCCACGGGACTCTTGGCAGGGTTGGGGAGCTCTCATTTTCTGTCAGCACTTGGCTTTCTGTTCCTAGAGCCCACCGCGCACCAGCATTTTGAAATCTGCAGAGAGCCTTCCTCCCAGCTTTGCCGCCTGTGCTGCCATTAGAGGACAAAGAAGCATCCTCGTGGGCATCTCTGTAACATAGACGCGTGGACAGCACGTGTATCCGGCTTCGTGTGTGACATCATTCGTCCCCGTTCGCTCACTCCCATTATTAAGCTTCGTCCTCTGACATGCGGCCCTTGCCTCCTTGGGGCAGGCTGTTTGGGGGCCAGGGAGGAACTAAGACTGGCGCTGAGGAGCTGTGCCTCCCACCGCAGTTGTCCGGAGTGAAGGAACCCAAACACATCTCCTCGCCAGAGACCTCTGTAAGTCAGGGTCCTCGTGCACCTTCCCATTATCTCATCTGAAAGTTGCTTTGTTAGTCTTCCCCAGATAGAAAGAGAAATATAATCCAAAGCGGAAAGATGGAATGATCATACTACGGTATCAGACATAACATCTCTTGGCATTCCGATTCTGCCGTTGACTCGCTTCCAGGAGAAAGCAAATGTTCATAAGCTTTGCCGATGCACCAGGTAATTTACTCCCGCCTGCAGAATACTTTGGTTGGGGAAGAGAACTGAATCCAGTGATCCATTTTCAACACCGTTTGAAGTCTGTAATTCCCTGCCTTCTCCCAGATGCCCCATCAGTCACCACTATTAAATCAAGCTTGCATAGTCTGATTAGCCAATAATCTTTAGATGTAATATTTCCCTTTGTACTTTTCCAAGCTCAGGTCTTTATTTCTGTAATGGAATTGTCTTGATTCTCTTTCTTCAGATTGCATCCTAAAGCTAAATGCTTTTTCCTGGCCTCCCTCCCTCCCTCCCTCCCTCCCAGTATTGAGGCACCAGAATCTTTCCTCACTCCATGCAGCCAGCAGGTAGGATTTTTCTGCAGTGTGTGTCCCTGAAGCCCGTCTCAAGCCACCGCTCCCTTTCAGTGTCCTCCCTGCTGCCTTCATGGACTTGGGGCACCCAGGGTCTCAGTTTTGGGTCTTCTTTCAGTTCATGTCTCCAAACTCTTCCAGCTATAGCCTGGGGGCAGCTGTAGAAACTTCCCCACTGGGGAAGACCATGAATATTCCTGATGAGCACAAGTAAAACTAGGGTTTGAGCCATAGTATGAAGGTGCGGGCAGGTGAGAGCCCAGGGAGTTGAGAGTCCCTCTGATCACCCCTGGGGTCCCACATGTCCAGGCCAAGGAAGGCAGCAGCCCGCCCTGCCCAGCCACATGCAGGCCACAAGTCTGCCATTCTCTTCTTTCCCTTGCCTGACTCACCACCTCCCTCGGGACTGGAGTTCTGAACTAGAACAGGTCGAGACACAGAATATTAACACTTCTGGCAACTTCATCCTCACTTTCTGCCCAAAGCCATGTGGCCCCCCCCATATCAACTGGACTTGGGTAGAAGGACCCCTGAACCAGCAGATCACTTCCTCCTGGAGAGGGGAGTGCAGAACTCAAAGCAGACTGGATAGAGGTGCAGGAAGGATTCTTAGAGGACCCTGCCCCGTGAGAAGGGCTGACAATGCTATAGTTGAGGCTGAACTTCAGGACCAAAGTGTGAGCCTGTCTTTCTGCAAGTTCTTCTGACTTCCACTGGAGAATGAGGGCCAGATGGATGGAGGGTTAGACTTCATCAGAAGAGAGATTAGCCACTGTGAAGGGTGGAGAGTAGAAGGAGTTCCGGAGAGAACCCAACAGCCTGTTCCTTACAGAATCCTCAGCATCCTCTCCCAAGAGAGGACCTTTTCCTCTCTCCCCATGATGGGCAGCAAGCCCATCCACCCAGGAGCAGATCTAGGAGACTGCATCCCTGTGGGAGCAGCTGAAGGATGAAGGGTAAGAAGGAAGCCACAGAAATCTCTGCTGGGCTGGAAGTTAACCTACTCCCGTGGTAACAACACACGTGACACCCAAGGGCTGAAGTCTGTGGAGATAGCCCAAAACTGGTGGCATTGCTCACATCTGACAGCTTGTCCCCATGAAGTGTGCCCCTGCTGCTTTGCCTGCACAGTCTGTCAAAAATGGTGGGCTTCTTTGTTAGGAGGCTTAAGATCTGACTTCCCCAGCCCCACCCCAGTCCTGTCCTCACCAGTGCTGGCCAGGGCCCATACTGCAGCGCCCTCCCCAGGGCTGTGACACACTCGGATGAAGACTCCAGAATGTCCTGGTCCTCCATGCCCCAAGCTGTGCTGTGTGGCCCCGGCTGGAGGTGAACTCTACAGAACAGGGAGGGAGGAGCCCAAGTCTTGCTTTGTCCTCCCAACTAACAGACTCAGGAGTCTATTATAGGATAGCCAGGTGATTGGCAAACTCAGCTCAGCTCATTCTTTCTGCGAGAATGGGTGAAGACCATGCAAGTGATGATCGGGGAGGCATTTTGCTTGGGAGATCAAGGAAAGCTGACTCTGATTCCCTTGGCACCTGAAGAAGCTGGTTCCCATCACTCCAGAAGCAGGCAGAGCCCCCAAACAGGACCCAGCATGGGAACTGTTAGCAGTGGCTTCCAGAATGTGCGTGGGTCCCACGTGACTGATCTGTAAAAAAAGGGATATTGCCATGGCAACCCTTGCATTCCACCCCGAGTTTGCCAAGGCACACAAAAATAGGGAACATTTTCTTAAAGAACACTTGGGTTCTGCCTGATTGCAGCCTGACTCCAGCATCCATGTCCTGCTAGAGGGGGAAATTACCCTCAAAGAATCTGGTAGATTCTTGCCTTTTCCTCTTGTCTTTGAACTTGTCCTTCCATTTGCCCAGGAGAAGAGAAGCTACCTGTGAGCTGGATGGTAGCCTCCCCACACACCTCTCCACTCCCCACTCCTGGGGCCCACAGCCAAGGCCCCTTAATCTGGGCTAAAAGGCAGAAATGTCATCTGGAAGGCAGAAAATATTTTAAGCCTCAATCTTTAAAAGCATCTGCTTGCCTGTTGAGAAGCTCTCCCACAAGCCAGAAATGTGAACTGAAGTGAACTGAGGTTTATAGTGGTCTTAGGCAAGCCTCGTGGTTTCAGAAGTTTCTAGGCATTTTATTTGCAGAGAACAAGATATATAGTACTAGTCTTCTTTCGTAATACCTGCTCCTGTCTTGGATTTCATATGACAGATGGTCTACTATCTTGTGGTTAGCCAAAAGCATCTAGTAGGAAAGATGTGAAGCTCGTTTTGACAATAATGTCCCTCCCACCTCCCATCCACAGAATCAAAAAGTGATGGATCTAAGAACTGGGAGAGAAATTTATCTTTTATTCCAAATACCTTCTTTAGGCTTAAGTCCAGAACTAGGTCATAAATCAAAGAGAGTTTTGCTTTTAACCCATAACTAGCAGCCACTCTGGACCCTATGAGGGCACGGCCAAAAGATTAAGGATATGAACACTACCCACAGCTCTTTGGGTTGAGTGGCACTGACCAGGGGCGGCTGTAGGCCATGAAAGAGTGTTTCTGCTCTGCCCTGACTCTCCATCACCTGGAAGCTGCTGATCTCTGCTCCTCCCAGCTGGGGGTCTCCAACTACATTGGGTTGGTTGACTGCACTATTTCTCTACAGGCCCACAGTAATAGTGTCATTCACCTGTTCCACTGACATATTGTGGGAATGTGGAACCCTGCTATTATAGGATGGCTGGGTGATTGGCAAACTCAACTCAGCTCATTCTTGCTGCAACAATGGGTGAAGGCCACGCAAGTGATGATCACGGAGGGGTCTGCCCATTTTACTATAATGTGGAATGATACAGATGGACTGAGCTGACGTGTCCAGACTTGGGCACAACTGGTTGTATAACCAGTAGGACTTCAGAGCTACCTTCCCTAGAAAACGAGTGTCTGAAATGACCTCTCATCAGAGAGGCCACTTCAGTAACCCTCCCAGGGCTAAGATCTGTAACCTGGAGGCCTTGCTGTAACCAGCCTCCCCCACCACCTCATTGCTCAACACTCCCAGGCAGGAAAAAATGTCTATCAGAAATAGAAGAGAAACATTATTCAGCAGTTAGGGTTTTCAACTTGAATTATTTAAAGCGATGTCAAGATAGAAGAGGATTTGAACTGCCTCTTACAGACCTTGTCTCCATGACAATTTAAATGTCAGATCCGTTCAGTGTCACTTCATACTTCCTTGGCTAAGTCACTCAGGGGACCATTCTTGGTCTTGTGGCCTTGCCGTAGACATTTGGTTTGGAGGAATAAGGTCAGGCACACATCGAAGCCCAACATTTCTCTTAGTATTACATGCTCGTTACTACTGCACACCATCATCTTAACAGCTATGGTTTCTACTTAACATTGATTCGGGATCCTCTTTATACAGCCTCAAAGGACATGATACCAATGCTCAAAAAATCTTCAAGGTAGAATAAATTTGATCAGTTGACTTGAAATATAGCCACAATGAGTCAAGTTTTGCTAGCTCCGCAAAGACGGTCTTCTGAGTCTGGACAATATTTGCCAACTTTCTGCCCCCAACCCCTACCCTGGGTACTTTGCCAGTCGAGTCCACACACTCCCATGCTGGGGGTAGCCCTCATCTATCTTTTTCCTTGAG